CCTAATATCCCTCCAATTCAGGATACACCTCCTTCTGCTTCAAACGAAGATAGACTGAATTGGTCTCCAGATATTACCACAGATCCTCCAACTGAATTAATTGAGAGTGCTGAGGAGGTTATTCCCATATCAGAACAGGGCTCATCTGATCAGGGAGTCATTCCAGTACCTAGGAGGTCAGCTCCCTCAGCTACTTTCACCCCTACAGTGGCGGGGCTCTGCCCTGAGGTAAGCCAGGCCCCTGTTCTTTCTCAGGAACTCTGCCAGATGTTAGATCAGACCATTGCCCAGGGCATAGACTCTGCCCTGCTTAGGAGGGGCATTCCTGCTCCCGCCTCAGCTGGTACCACTCCCAATGTACACCAAGGCCACCAGGATAGGGTTTATTCCCGGGCCCCCCACTCGCCCCATGATTCTCAGGGCAGTGAATGGTCTTATACTGGGGAGGAGGAAGAATTTGCAGATCATGATCTTTCTGAAGATGAAGGCAGATCTCCAGACAAACCAGCCTTCACTGGCCTTTTCAACCCTAGCATGTTCAAGACCTTGTTATACAAGGCCAAAACCACTGCCAATCTAGGGGTTGTGGCTGGGGCATGTGACTGCTCGGCTTAGCAGGATGCTAAGCAGGATGCTAAGCCGATGCTCGATTATTTACAGAACCGGTCACTACCCAGGACGCTGTTCCTTCTCCCAGATTATTCATAGACATTATCAAGAAGCAATGGCTTCAACCTGGATCCTTGTCTAATCCCAGCGGATTAGACAAAAAGATGTACACTGTAGAACAGGAGGTAGAGGACATGCTTAAGTTGCCTACAATAGATACTCCCTTTGCCAATCTAGCATCTTCCAATATTCTCCCCTCAGACTCTGCAGAAGGGCTGAAGACCGAGGATAGGAAAGCTGAGATGTCAGTTTGTAAGACACATCAAGCAGCTGCTTGGGCAATCAGATCAGCCACGGCAGCTTCCTTCTTTAATAGAACCTCCCTCTTGTGGCTGCGTCAAATGCAGGCAAGGGCTCCCCCTGGAGATGTCAGATTACACCAGGACATCAACAAATTAATTGCTGCAGCAGAATACTCTGCTGATGCAACCCTTAATTCGGCTAAGTTCGCTTCCAGGGCCCTGGCATCTAACGTGACTTCCAGGCGATTATTATGGCTTCGCCATTGGCAAGCCGATATGAAATCCAAATGGAAATTGGGGTCTGCTCCTTTTCAGGGCAATAATCTTTTTGGTGAGGTTTTAGATCCCATTTTGGTAGAGACCAAAGATAAAAGGAAGGTACTTCCCCTGTCTCACAGGAGGACAGATAGGAGATACTCTCCATATTATCGCAGGCAGTCCTTTCGTGGGGCGGAGGGCGGTTACTCCGCCCCAACCTATCAGAGGACTTACCCCCCAACTTCAGACCGATCCCAGGATAGGGCTCAGTTCAGGGACAGGTCTAGACAACCCCAGTCTAGGAGACCCTTTCGAGGGGCCGGCGGTAGACCTTACCGCAGGTCCAAATGACTCCCAGTCACACGTTCCCATTGGAGGCCGCCTCATGAGGTTCTCAGCCCAATGGGAGCTCATCACAACCGACGCCTGGGCTCTGCAAACAGTCCGGCTCGGTCTCACATTGGAGTTTTCATCCCTCCCTCCGATGAGATTCATCTCTTGCACTCTTCCCAGAGATGCCACCAAGAGATCTCTGATGGAAGCCGAGATCCTTCATCTACTTTCCATCCAGGCAATAGAACCGGTGGCTGTCTCGCAGAAGGGTCTCGGTTTCTATTCGATCCTCTTTCTGGTTCCCAAGAAATCAGGGGGTTGCAGGGGAATACTAGATCTAAAAAGACTTAACAAACACATCAATTACAAGAGATTCAAGATGCAGTCCTTAACCTCTATTCTAAATTGCATCAGACAGGGGGATCTGCTTACATCCATAGATCTAAAGGAAGCCTATCTGCACATACCAATTCGGATTTCACACAGGAAATATCTCAGATTCTGTTACGCAGGGCAACACTTCTAATACAGGGCCCTTCCATTCGGCCTGTCCTCTGCCCCCAGGACGTTCACAAAGCTCCTGGACGTGATGGCAGCCCATCTGTGGGCTCACCCAATCAGGCTTCAATGTTACCTAGACGACATTTTGATTCAATCCTCATCCATCAGGCAGGTGAGACAGGATTTGTCAGAGACTATTCAGGCTCTGCAACTTCACGGGTTTTCAGTAAATCTAGAAAAGAGCCAGTTAATTCCATCCTATTCTATCCTTTATTTAGGTGCCCGGATAGACACAGTCAGTTGCCAGGTCTTTCTATCACCAGAACGTCTAGTCAGCATACGGGCCTTGATACATCGGGTCAGGTCAGCCAGGTCTGTCTTCCTCGCAGTATTGTCCCAGTTGCTAGGGAAAATGATTTCATGTCTGGCCATCGTTCCTTGGGCAAGGTTACATTCCCGGACCTTACAATGGTTCCTCCTACCGAGCCAACGAGCAGGTATCAGTCACTCCACAACAAGAGTCAGGGTGCCTCCAAAAGTTCTCCACTCCCTGAACTGGTGGATGTCATCTTCCCTAGAGAAAGACTGTCTCTTCAAGGAACTGCCACGTCTAACACTAACTTCAGATGCCAGTCTATTCGGCTGGGGGGCTCACCTGGGTTCCCAGATGGCACAGGGCAGATGGTCACCACAGGATCTGTTGCATGACATAAATTGGTTGGAACTCAGAGCTGCCCACCTAGCTCTACGTCACTTCCACCTCTCGCTAACCAACCAGCACGTGTTGCTGTTAACCGACAATGTCACTGCCAAGGCACATGTGAACAGGCAGGGAGGCATCCGGTCCAAGGACCTGATGTCCGAAGCAGCGAGCCTCGGCCTCTGGGCGGAATCACACCTGCTGTCCCTCCAGGCGGAACATATTTCAGGCGCACACAATGAACAGGCGGACTGGTTGAGTCAAACAACCGTCGACCACTCCGAATGGCATCTCCATCGAGACCTGTTTCACTAACTGATGACCAGGTTCGGCTAACCATGAGTGGATCTATTTGCAACACCAAAGAACACTCACCTACTTAGGTTCTTTTCCAGTTTTCCGACGCTGGGGGCAGAAACGACCAACGCCCTTCAGGCGCCCTGGCCTCAAGGCCTTCTATATGCCTTTCCTCCAACACCTCTACTACCACGGGTGATCCGGAAGCTTCTGGGCGAGCAGGCAGAAATTCTGTTGGTGGCGCCGCACTGGCCCAGAAGGGTATGGTTTGCGGACCTAGTGTCACTATCAGTGTCCTGCCCATGGAGGATTCCGCCAGACAGGATTGTCCTAAGCCAGGGGGCAGTGCAACATCCCGAGTCCCAGTGGCTCCAACTGGCCGTCTGGCGATTGAGCGGGAAATCCTGAGGGACTCCAGATTCTCGAGCAAAGTCATTTCTGTCATCCAGGCCTCTCGTCGTCCGTCTACTACCAGGATTTATGTTGCCACTTGGTCAGCGTTCTCTAGCTGGTGCCGAAAATCGCACATTTCTCCCAGGAGGAGCTTCCCTTCTGGACGTCTTGAGTTTCCTTCACTCAGGATTCAAACAGGGACTTACTGCCAACACGCTCCGCAGACAAGTGGCTGCCTTAGCGACTATTCTGCATGGAGAAGGTCCTATCCCTCTCTCTCAACACCCCAAGGTGAGGAGTTTTCTTCGAGGTGTTGCTAATTTACGGCCTCCTCCAGTCCTGGGACTTGCCTCTCGTCCTACAAGTGCTCACGTCTGCTCCGTTTGAGCCTTTAGGATCCGCCAATCTCAAAATACTTACCTTCAAGGTCGCCTTCTTGATAGCAATCACGTCTGCAAGGAGGATCTCCGAACTGGCGGCACTGTCGGTACGTAGAGATTTATGCATCTTTTACTCCGACAGGGTGGTCCTCAGGTTGGACCCGACTTTCGTACCAAAAGTCAATTCTTGGTTTCACAGGGCACAGGAGGTGGTTTTACCTAACTTTTGCCCTGACCCAGCACATCCTAGAGAACGGCATTGGCACACGCTCGATGTTCGTAGGGCACTTCGCAAATATATTGACAGGACCTCATCATTCAGGCAGTCTGAATCACTATTTGTATCATTCCAGCCTACTGCCATGGGCAAGAAAGTTACCCCATCTACAATTGCGAGATGGATCAAAGCTTGCATCGCAATGGCTTACAAACACCAAGCTACTCCAGTGCCCAGAAACATCACTGCGCATTCAACTCGTAGCGCTGCCACCACGGCAGCCTGGGCTACTCAGGCTTCCATATTGGAGATTTGCAGGGCCGCAACTTGGGCTTCTCCCACTACCTTTATCAGAAATTACAAGTTGGACGTTTTTGCCTCGGCCGAGGCTTCGTTTGGCAGAAGAGTCCTGCAGCAGGTTCTACCAGGAGAACAACACCTGGACCGCTCGGACTCCCGCCCTGGGGATACTTAGCTTGGGTATATCCCATTGCTTGGACTCTCCAAGCAGCGCACAGGAGATTGAACATTGGATCTTACCTGAATGTTCAATCTATGTGCGCTGCAGGAGAGTCCAACCCCGCCCTAAGATAGCGGTCCAGCATCCAACACCTAGTTATAGTGGACATTCTTCTATCATCATTGCTACGTCTTCTACAGACTTCTTCGTCGAAACACTCAAGGCTCATGGGAGAAAGAGGCGTGGCTAGGCAAATTCAACTCAGTCTCTGGCCAACCAAGCTAAACTTGAACCCATTGCTTGGACTCTCCTGCAGCGCACATAGATCAAACATTCAGGTAAGATCCAATGTTCATTCTCCTTCACTGGAGGTTTTTAAGAAGAGACTGGGTAGACACTTGTCTGAAATGGTATAGGCCAGGGTCTCCTGCTTGAGCAAGGGGCTAGACTAGATGCCTACAAGGTTCCTTCCAGCTCTATTCTGATATAAAATTTTCTGGTTGGTCCCTCTCATACTGGAAAGCCCTTACACAGATTTGTATTTTCTTAGTTTCAAGATCTTGCTTTTAACCGAGACAACCTGGAGCTGATCAAAAGAAATAAAATCCATAAAGATTTGGCAGAAATGTATGCTACAGCATTATTTACTGTTGACTCGGATTTCAATCTTGACAGGTGAGTGGAAATGTCTTTCTGGTATGATTAATATATTTTAATTATATTCCCAGTAACTATAACAGAAATCTCAGGCAGTCTAGGATATGTAAACTGAAAAAAAGATGAAGACGAAGGCAAACTGTATTAACCCTATATACAGCAATTCTATATTGTTACCAACCAACACTCCCCTCCCCCATAAATGAGTCCATCATCAGGAGTTAAGCCCTGCTCAAAGGAAGCTTTCCCTTAACCTTTTGCACCTGTACATTTGCCTTCTACCGAAGGCGAACAGGGCCTTTTGCTATGAGTGCCCTCCTTCCACATGCATGCATCACCACAGAACCACCGCCAAAGGCATCCATGAAAAATAGGATGTGTACATCAAGTGGTAGCTATCGCAGAGCATCCATTCAGGGAACACCCAGCAGCTGCCTAGAGTTAACCCAAACCTTCAAAGATACGAGTCTCAGATAAATCTGAAGCAGCTGTTGGGCTTTGCTTTCTTCTCAGCCTTCCAGATCAACTTGTTTGTTTTGTGCAACGTTCAACCTTGATCTCCCGTCTGAGCCCTGCAGAGGCCTTGAGCTTCATTGCCCGGGTCAACCACCATTGCAGTTCTTCCAACCCTTCTGCCTCTGACCGTCAGGTGAACTCACTCAGCTTTTCTATTTGCACATGTTGCTCAAAAAATGATAGTCCTAAATTCGTGATACATATTGAAGCTTATTCCTGAAGGGAGATTCATGGGCACTGCTGGATTGGATTAGAAGGTGAAAGAGGACTGGACAGCTAGCCTTTCCAGGTATCTTTTCTGAAAAGTCTAAATCAAATAACAGACTACATTTTAATAGCATTTGTTCTTTGGTTAAATATCCAGTCTAAACAAGCCAATCTATATATATAAAAGTGAAATACCACTCATACATCATCACAAAATCTCCAGAACTGTAAAGCCTACAAACTTGAAATTTGCTATGTATGTTCCTCTTGGCTTCTAGGTGCTCACTAAGAAAGGATTTTTCGAAATGACCATCAGAGCATTAGTATTTCCTATATTATTATTAGCATGCTCTGATGCTACGGAGTTCTACTCTCCCTCCCCACCTGAAAAGAAATCTGTTCCAAATACAAAACACAAGCATAGGAGAGGAGTTTCAGTTTCAGTTTTACTTTCACAGCAGCAAGCAGGGGATAGGATAGGGGAGGCTTCTATGAGGCAAGCCCGAGGGAGAGAAGGGGGATAGGATAGGATAGGATAGGATAGGATAGGATAGGATAGGATAGGCTTTTGTGGGGCAAGCCTGAGGGAGAGAAGGGGAATAGGATAGGGGAGGCTTCTATGAGGCAAGCCTGAGAAAAGGGGAGAGGAGAGGCCGGTCGTAACTACTCATTCATTTTCAAACTGTGTCGAATTACCAAGCCTGATCACATAATTTCGTAGAGGAGCACGGGTGTTCAGCTATTTGTTGATACAACTGACTTTCATGACCTTTGAAAACCCAATATTTTTTCTGGTGGGAGAGGTCATGGTTCTATTCTCAGTTGGACACTGTTGTTGTTCACCAGAGACTAGAAGAGAGAAATGTTCCTTATATATGCTAACGTTGGGCCATTCCACAATGAATGGGATCGAGTTAGTATCATGGGAAATGTACAGAGAAGATGGGTCTTTCTCCCCTCCTGCCTTTGATGTAAAAGATGGCAGCAGTTGCCTGATAAAGTAAGAGAGAATATAGAAGTAGGGAGAGACGGCTGGTGCTCCTTTACTGTCACGGGGCTGATTGGAGACCTTGTCATGGGTAGGATTGGCCTAGGAGCAGTGGCCTGGGAAGTAAGTATAAGTAGCATTTTTCATCACAGGCATGGAGGGGAGCTGCCTGGGCAACAGAGAGAACTATCTGTGTTGCATGCATGGATTCTTTGGTTTTGATTTACAGTTGTTTTCTTATTCAGAAACCAATTCCAACAATGCCACATGCCAATCTTCAGCCACATGTTCATCACCATTATAACCATCTCTCTCACCCTTTGTTCTGCAGGGTCCCCTCCCCCGAACCCTGTCCTCCTGCTACGGCTTGGGTTCTGTTGGAACAGGAACAAAGACCAATGTAAAAGACTCTTGTCAAAATCAAAATTATCCTGGAGACATTGACAAGGGACTGGAGGGGAGAGGGTTTGGCTACAGCTCCCAGGCAGCCAATAGGAATGGTGCAGAACTTTTATTTTATTTTATTTTATTTATTTATTTTTTATTTATTTATTTATTTATTTATTTATTTATTTATTTATTTATTTTATTTATTTATTTATTTATTTATTTATTTATTTATTTATTTATTTATTTATTTATTTAGTCAAGCATATATAAGATTATAGATATAAGTATAAACATGATTATGAATACATGAAATGGATACAAATAAATGGGGACATTAGGACAGGGACGGTAGGCACGTTGGTGCGCTTATGCATGGAGTGAGGTCAACAGTAGATAGTCTAACATTAAAGTTTTGGGGTTTGGGGAAGAAACCACAAAGTCAGGTAGTGCATTCCAGGCATTGACCACTCTGTTGCTGAAGTCGTATTTTCTGCAATCGAGTTTGGAGTAGTTTACATTAAGTTTGTATCTGTTGTGTGCTTGTGTATTGTTGTGGTTGAAGCTGAAATAGCCATTGACAGGTAGGACATTGTGGCAGATAATTTTATGTACTATGCTTATGTCAGACTGAAGGCGGCATAGTTCTAAATTGTCTAAGGTCAAAATTTCAAGCCTGGTGGCATAAGGTATTCTGTTGTGAGGAGTGGAGGACTCTTCTTGTGAAATATCTCTAGACTCCCTCAATTGTATTAATGTCTGATATGCAGTGCGGGTTCCAGATAGATGAGCTGTATTCAAGAATTGGTCTAGCAAATGTTTGTATGCTCTAGTTAGCAGTACAATATTACAGTGAAGAAGCTACGCAAGATTAGGTTAATAACTCTTCCTTTTTGGCAATGTTGTTACAGTTGGCTCTGGCACTTAGATCATTAGAGATGAGTACTCCAAGATCCTTGACAGAGTGAAGGTCATCTACAATGTCGTATCTGCCCAGCTTGTATTTTGTGTTCTGATTTTTTTTGCCAATGTGTAAGACAGAGCATTTGTTGGTTGAGATTTGGAGTTGCCAATTGTTTGACCATTCTGACACATAGTCAAGGTCTTTTTGAAGGGTAGCAGCATTGTTGGTGGTGTTAAATAGTTTTACATCATGAGCGACAGAGAATGCAGTTGCTTATAATATGATTGCAAAAGTCATTTATGTAAAGTATAAGAGTGTTGGTCCTAAAACGCTGCCTTGGGGGACATCGCTGTTAACAGGTGCAGGATTTGATAGGGCGCTCCCTATTTTGACCACTTGTTGCCTGTTTGACAGGAACGTAGCTATCCAATTATGCAGGGGTCCAAAAATGCCATAAGATTTTAGTTTTAGAAGTAGTTTGTCATATACCACTGAATCAAAGGCTTTACAGAAGTCTATGTAAATTGTGTCTATTGCTTTGCCCTGGTCGAGTTGTGTAGTCTATATGTTTTTGCAGTGCAGGAGTTGCAGATTACAGGACAAATTTTTCCTGAACCCAAATTGTTTGCTGGAGAAGAGATTGTTTGTCTCTAAGTGGAAGGTAATGGATTGGTTTATGATTGATTCCATGACTTTGCAGGTAACACACCATAATGAGATTGGTCTGTAATTTTCAACTAGGCTGGGGTCTCCCTTTTTGAAAATAGGGATGACCGTGTCTAGTGACCACAGGTTGGGCAAGGAGCTGGTACTGAAAGATTTTTCAAATATTATGCTTAGAGGTTCTGCCATGGCAGTGGAAAGCTTTTTTAAGAAGTAGGCACATAGTCCATCAGGTCTAATAGATAGAGATGGTTTTAGGCTGCGTAACGTTATCTTCTGTAAAATTGATATGTATTAGATTGTTGTAATTAGTTGTGGTACGACTAGGAAATGTAGGGCATGAGCCATTGCTGTTTACAAAGACTGATCCGAAGAATGTGTTAAAGAGGTTGGCTTCATCATTACAGTCTTTACCATTAGGTCCTTTTAGAGGTGGGAAGGATCTTTTTTTTTTATTTGATTTATATGCCGCCCTTCTCCGGAGACTCAGGGTGGCTTACAATGCGTTAAGCAATAGCCTTCATACTTTTGTATATTTTATACAAAGTCAGCTTATTGCCCCCACAATCTGGGTCCTCATTTTACCTATCTTAGAAAGGATGGAAGGCTGAGTCAACCTTGAGCCTGGTGAGATTTGAACTTGCAGTAATTGCAGGCAGCTGATGTTAATAACAGTGCTTTAGTCTGCTGCGCTACCAGGGCTCTTGAGTCTTTAAGTTTGTTGTTTACAAAATTATAGACGGCACGGGTAGATTTTCTGCACAGAAGATTTTCCTCTTGTTTGGTGTGATAATTGGTGCATTCAGTCTTTATCTGGTGGCATAAGTTTTTGTAGTGGCTTTTAAAGTTAGCTACATAGCCAGTTTTGTTTTTCCACCAAAGAGAATTTTTTTTTGGATTGGAGATTCCTTTTTGTTTTTTCCAGTTTTGGGGGTTATTAGTGCTACGTATAGTTTAATGACTCTTTTGACTTTGAGCAAAAAAATGTTATAATGGTCTTCGGCAGTATTACAGTCAGTGAATAGAATTTGCCAATCAAGAGATGAGAGGTTGGTGTTTATGAGGTCATAGTTGGCTTTTTTAAAGTTATAATTGGGGATCCCATCATTATGATGATTTTTGTAATCATCATCAATGTCAATATCAACGTAAATTGATCAGTCAATCATGCTGTGGTCACTGTTGGAAAAGGGTTCTTTTATTTGTAGTCCATAAATTGAGTTTAAACTGTTGCAGAAGATGAGATCAAGGCAATTGTTGAGTCTAGTGTTGTTAGTTACTAGTTGATCCAGTCCCAGATTAGTAACAGCAGAGTTGCATGTATGGGTTCAGTTGTACATTTGTTTAAGGTCCAATTAATAAGAGGTAGATTGAGGTCACCAAGAAAGATAAGAGGGTGTGGGCAGGAGGCTGCCCACGTTAGTAGTGAAGTTAACTTGTTCACATGTACGATGTCGTAATCGAGCTCTGTAACATAGTAAGAATCGAAACGTGGTATTCTCCAGCGTGCTGCTTGGAGTCTCCAAGCAAGGGTTAACTCAAATCTATTGCCAGAGACTGGGTTGATAGAATTTTCTTGGCCACACCTCTCTTGCCTGGCTGAGCTTCCGTTTTTCAACTCAGTCAGCCAAGAGAGACGTCTATTGAATTGTTTTACTTCTCAAGTCTAGGACAATAGGATTTTTTTTTTGCTTGGAGTCTTAGTTTTGGGACAATTTTGGAATCTGGAGAGGCCAGCATGCTGTGGGTGAGTGAGCTGGTCTACTCTGGCAAGCCTGGACTGACCACCACCATCCTGAAGAGAACAACATAGGTAAGCAGCATATCCGGGGTCAAGCCAAGAATGGGGATCCTCCGTGGTGCTGGCCCCTGGAATCCTACCCACCTAGCCGCTGGTGTGTGAGCTGTACAACTGCCACCACCTGTGTGTGTGTGTTTTTTCCCCAGAGGGAGAAGTGGCTCCGGAGTTACTGTCCAGCTGGAGGGACATACTCCGTGTTTCTTTGGTCTGTGCGGCACTAGGAGGTCTTTAATCGCGCCCTCGTGCCCTTAGTAGTACCGCTGCGGTGGGGGGAGGCTTTTTGAGTGGCGGCATTGCCGGGCTCATGGCTCCCGTGTCTTGCTCCCTCTGGTGGCTGTCATACAGATTTCGGAAGTGGAGGCGCTGGGAGAGCCGGAATCTGCTCTCATGCCTCGCTTTTCATCCAACAGTGGTTTTTGAACGTTTACAAGGAAGAGGGGTGCTGGAGAGCCGGAATTTGCTCTCCTGCCCGTTTATTGACAGCCCGTTTATTTTCATCAACCACATCATTGATAATGCATCTTTGTGCATATCCATGACAAAAATTGTGTTGAGAGAAAAGGGAAGTCTGTTTAAAATGTAGAGCTGGTCAAGACAGCATTCTGCTTCCTCAGTTGTGGACTAGGATTGAAAGCAAGGCAATGTCTTTGGATGAGACAGATGGCACATCAATTCCATCACTCACTCATTCAAATGCATACAGGAGGATATACCATACAAAAGTGGCTCCCAGGGCATGCTTGTCCTGTGCTTAAGAGGAAGCCATGCGGAACTCTAGGCCTGTAATTGTTCAAAAGATGTCACATCGTAGTAAGATAGTAAGTCAAAATTTTCAAGGAGACCATTTGCCCATTGGCAAAGTCAACATCAGAATTAAATGACGACTTGGGAGTTGTACCAACGTTTCTAAGGTCAGAGTCTTTGAACAAATATATACACAAACAAATCAAATGTTGTCATGGAATTTTCTCCAAGTCAATTTGGTATTTCAAATATCTCAACTTTACATAACTTCCATCTTTTCTTTTCTAGCTTGCTCATATGCTTGTGGCTCAAGTCAAGACATTTGATAAACAGACCTTGATAGCTTTGGGGCAGCAAGCAATGGGGCTCACAGCGGGTCAGATTTCAAATCTAACAGCACAAGATCTAGTAGATCACAAGGTTTTGGAATCACTCGGCCAGGTCAAGGGCTGGAACAGAAGACAATCCCAGATTCTGGTAAACAAGATCCTGCTCAATTACAAGGTAAATCTTGTGACTTCCCATTTCTGATCTGTTAATATCAGTGTGTGTCACCAGTTTTCAACTGGTGTAATTATGATACAAGAAGATAGATTTTTTAATTTTAGTTTTTGAAGAAAAATCATAATGGAGAGAGAATTCCAGCTTATTGCAGATTTATAAACCACAATCATGTTTTCCCTTCCTGTCCCTGGAATAGTTTCTTGTCTGCCATCACCCTCAATCTCCCATTAATGCATGCCCTGCTAGAGCACCCACAGGAAAGTTTTAAAAAGTCAAAATTGCAGTCACAGTTACGATCTTGACTTTTTAAATTCCTCTGTGGAGCCCTGCTTTTTATGTACCATTATGGATTACAAAATTATAGATCTTCTCTATAATGGTTTGAGCTGGCACCTATGGAGCTTGAAACATAACTTTTCTAATGCTGGGAAAGGAAAAAAATGTAGGAAAATGTCTTCGGTAGTTGAACTGGCAAAAAGAGGCCTTATGTGTATTTTATTTATTTTATTTTTATTTTATTTTTAAATTTGTATACCGCCCTTCTCCCTGAGGACCCAGGGCGGTGAACAGCCAAATAAAAACATAAACTACAAACATTAAAATACAATTAAAAAGATATATATATAAATTTGGCCCCATGATTAAAAACAATAACAAACAATCAAAAACATTTTAAAAAGTGTTAGGCCAGCCCGGCTTGCTGGAAGAAGAAGGTTTTAAGGGCACGGCGGAAGGCACCGAGGTCTTGGATTCTCCTTATCTCTGGGGGCAGCTGATTCCAGAGGGTAGGTGCCCCCACAGAGAAGGCCCTCCCCCTGGGGGTCGCCAGCCTACATTGTTTGGCTGATGACACCCCGAGGAGGCCCTCTCTGTGGGAGCACACAAGTCGATGGGAGGCCGTCAGTAGCAGCAGGCGGTCTCGAAGATAACTAAGTCCTATGCCATGGAGCGCTTTAAAGGTGATAACCAACACCTTGAAGCGCACCCGGAAGACCACTGGGAGCCAGTGCAGCTCACGCAGGACAGGTGTTGTATGGGAGCGCCATGCGGCTCCCGTGACTACCCGCGCGGCCGCATTCTGGACCAGTTGGAGCCTCCGGGTGCTCTTCAAGGGGAGTCCCATGTAGAGAGCGTTGCAGTAGTCCAGGCGAGAGGTGACGAGGGCATGAGTGACTGTGCACAGGGAATCCCGATCAAGAAAGGGCCGCAACTGGCGGATCAGGCGAACCTAAAAATAAATAAAATAAATCTTCTTTCCCAATAGATTTCCATTGAAAATGGACTGGTGTCGGGTCTGGTATTGTTAACCAAACTGGCAGGGCTGTGTAGTCCTACTTCTCGTCTCCCCAACCAGAGAAAGAACATTCTGAAAGAGGCAAAGTAGCAAGGGAAACAATTAGTCCAGGGGTGAAATTCACTTACCTTCCCTACCAGTTCGCAAATGTGCACGTGCCGTGCTTGCCACCTGTCTGCGCAGGCGTAGAGGCTTAAAATCGTTGCAAAAAAGCAATGTCATGACGTCCGTGGGAGTGGCCGGAGCCTCCTGCAGCCGCCGCTACCGGTTCACCCGAGCTGGATAGAACCGGCTGAATTTCACCCCTGATCAATCTCCTGGAATCTCCTCTTCTTTCAGGGCGATGGACAGAGGGGATCAGAGGAAGAGGTTGGGTATGGGTAGAGTGGTTGACACCAATAGAAGGCATTTGACTTCCACCCCCTCAAATCTAGGCAAATGCTGCCAGAGGAGAATTATGCCTTGACCATCTGCCTCATTCTTCCTGCAGCTAGACACAGCTGAGAAATTTGAGCATCTTGGTACCCTGGCAGAAGGCTTGCCAGGTAACAGTTTTGACACCATGGCAGCCAGTTTCGTAGTTAAGCTGGCCAAGAATATGAGCTTTCAGAGAGCTTTCAGAAAAAGTCCTGATCATGTGAAGAAGGCCTTTGTCAGCAAGGTAAGAGGAGAAAAGTGATTATAAGAAATGTTGGGAAAAGGATGGGTCCCTTTAGGGTTGCTGAGATAAATGAATGAATCAACAAGTTTCAACAAGCTGCATCTGCTGTAAATTAAAGAATATGAGAGTTGGAAGGTCTTTGCAGCATCCAGCCCAATCCTCTCTCACTGCAGGAAGGCTGATTAAAGCCTCCCTGGCAGTTAGCTCTTTAGCCCCTGGTTGGAGACCAACAGTGAAAGGGGGAGCCCCTCCTTTGGCTCTTGCCCTTGTTGTAGGTATCTCAGAGACAAAGTTGGCCAGTCTTGGGGCTGCTGCTTTCTTGCTTCTGTCAGCTGCTGATGAAGGAAGTTGTAGTGGTATGTAGAGATTTACAACCCTACAGCTTCCCTGCCTTCCAGCTGGATTGGGAATAGATATTGAAATTTGTCATTAAGTTTCTGATTTATTTATTTTGTACAATTATTATAACAATAATAATAATAATATAATATAATTATATTATTATATAATTGTACATTATATAATAATGTACAATTATTAGAACAGCTCTCCCAAAAGCAACCTCTGAATTATAAAATTCCTTAATTGTAAATAAGCATACAAATGTATTAAGTAACGCATTTGATAAAGTAGACCACAACCTACTTCTTGGTAAGATAGAACAATGGGATAGACAGCTTCACCACCAGATGGATTCTAATTGGCTGATCAACTGCACTCAAGCATGTAGTCCTCAATGGAGCTACATCTACATGGAGGGAAACACCCAATGGGATACCTCAAGGTTCTGTCTTAAGCCCAATACTTTTCAATATATTCATAAATGATGTAGATGAGGGAACTGAAGGGGAACTCATCAAATTTGTAGACGACACCAAGCTGAGGAGAATTGCCAGTCTTTTGGAAGATAGACTCAAGTTTCAGAAGGATCTTGACAGACTTGAACAATGGGCCCTATCCAACAAGATGCAGTACAGTGGTTAGAAAAGGAAGGTCCTTAGGCAGAAAAAACCAAATAGATAGGTATAAAATAAGCAGTACCTGGCTCAACAGCAGTAATTGTGAGAGAGATCTGTAAGGCTCTGTTGGATCACCACTCAAGAGTGAGTCAATAATCTACCGCAACTGCCAAAAAAACCAATGCAGTCCTAGGCTGCATCAATAGAGGAATAGCATCAAGATCATGGAAAGTGGTAGTACTTCTTTATACTGCACTGGTGAGACTGTACTTTGAATACCTTGTCTTGTTCTGGTCACCACATTTCAAAAAGATGCTGAGGTCCTAGAAAGAATTCAGAGAACAACAAAAATGATAAGGGGTCTGTAAACTAAATCATGAACAGCTAAGGGAACCAGCCTAATGTTTAGCCTAATGACGAGAAGGGTTAGGGGTGACACAATAGCTGTCTTCTAATACTTAAAGGCCGCCACAGGGAAGAGAGCATCATTTATTCTCCACAGCACCTGTGGGTAGGACAAGAAGCAATGGGTGGAAGCTTGTCAGAGGGTGATTCAATCTGGAGTTAAGTAGGCATTCCTGACAGGGTCAGTGGAACTGCTTGCCTCCTAGAGTTGTAAATGCTCCATTACTAGAGGTTTTCAAGAAAAGATTGGACAGTCGTTTGTCCAGGATGGTATAAGAACTTCTGCTTGAGCAGGGGGTTGGACTCGTGGTGGGATTCAACTGGAGTAACAACCGGTTTGCACTTCGCATGCGCGCAGTGCATTTGAAAACAACTGCGAAGTTTCCAAAAGATGCCCTAATTAATTCATGAGCCAGGAGCCAAACTTCAAAAGAAATACAGTCATTTATTAGGAGCACCATTTCGGCAATTCGGATGCAGTTAGAACTAATCCCACTTAGGTTTACTAATCCCTATGACCCTGTCTCCCCTCCTCCCTGGCCATGTCATAAATCACATTCTCCAATTAACCACTTTGGCTGGCTGTGAAATCCAACACCCTCCTTCTGATTGCGGTAAGGAAGCATGTATGGAATGTAACTTCAGTTAGGGAAATCAATCAGCTCTATCAGGGTTTGCCCCCCCTCCCCCCTTTTAAACAGATATTCTGCATGCATGCACCTTTTAAAACCTGCCGGTTGGAGCAGTTTGTCTGACTTTCTTTGGGCTATTTGCAGATCCTTTCAAACTCCTCCTCTCTTGATGACATCTTAAATAATGTTCCAGATGATTTAATTGAATTTGTTCCCAATTCACTGCTGGTGTCTGGAGGCCAGATTCTAGATCTCCACAAAATCAATGAGAAACCGTGGTCTCCACAACAGGTATGGCTCTGGACATATTTGCTGACTGAACCAGGGCAGACTCTGGCATTTCTTGCTTCTGATGTGCTCTTCTCATTCCAGGCAGCAGTCATGTTTGGAGATCTCTTTGCCAGAATTGAGAACTACACAATGTGAGTTCTGGGATCATGATAGTAGAGTGAGTAAGGGAGGAGAAAAACAAGATAGAGCAGTTACAGATGGCATTTATTTATCCCTTCAAATAGTGTAGGATATTTCAGTTATATACTGTGTGGGGAATGATGACACAATCATGCTTAACCAGCTTGCTTCTTCCCAACATACCTAGGGTTTGAGCTTAAGTGCCTATTTGGTTAGTTTATTCTGAACATGCAAAAATGGGTTGAGTGTGTTGCACATACATATAGCAATAATTTTATTTTTAAGCAAAGCATGTGTTACGTTCCTGGGAAACCTGTCAAGCTTTTAACATTTCAACTTGAGCTTCTGTCTAAGAGCCTTGGTGGCGCAGCAGACTAAAGCACTGTTAAGTAGCACCAGCTGCCTGCAATTACTGCAAGTTCAAATCTCACCAGGCTCAAGGTTGACTCAGCCTTCCATCCTTTTGAGGTAGGTAAAATGAGGACCCGGATTGTGGGGGCAATAAGCTGACTTTGTATAAAAAAGAACACCGCTTTTGGGGGGGGGGGCGAAAGCCCTACTAAGCAGGTATATACAAAAGTGTGAAGGCTATTGCTTAATGCATTGTAAGCCGCCCTGAGTCTCCGGAGAAGGGCGGCATATAAATCGAACCAATAAACAAACAAATAAACAAACAAATAAATAAATAAATAAAGTAAGTAGCCCTCAGTTTACCACCATGGTTGTGACCAGAACTTCTGTTGTTGAGCAATGTGGTAGTTAAGTAGACATGCCCAATTTTGCGGTTGTTAAGCAAACAGTCATTAAACCAATGATTGTAATGCAAGGACTACTTGTACTTGACATATTTAACATGAGCTTCTACAAAGGGGCTCAGAAAAGTCAAGATGGTAGCTGTGACTGTGATCAAATGTTTGTCCCATTTAAAATTTTATATATTTATTTGATTTCTCAGCCAAATGACTCTCAGCAGCTTTTGCATCATTTACAATGCCTCTATAGCAGAGACAGAATTTTGATAATTCTGTAGATTCTTGGCTACCATCTTTGCTTTTTTGACAGCCTCCCCTTCCCCTCCACATCTGATCATCCATTTCTTTTGTGAGAGAAAAAGTCTCTCTTGATTTATTGAAATCTGGTATAATTATCCTCTAAGACATGATTGACCAGTCAATGTCTCTCTGTGGCTTTCAGGCTTTCTCCATTCATCTTGCAAGGCTTTCAGTGTGATGCGGCTAGTAAACTGATGCCTGGGCAGCTCTTCTCCTTAGTTCAAGAAGTGAGACGTCAAAAGGCCAATTTGAGTGAAGAACAGGTGAGGAGATCTCTTGGACCAGGTTCAGGTCAAACCCAGGTTCAAGGTAGAAAGAGGACAAGGGCTGCACACAGTGGGGCAGAAGCCAAGAGCCTGATTCTGGCATGTCAGCGGCAAGAAAAAGGGGAGGGGCCCTGTTCCTGCCCAAAACGGGGGCCTGGCAGATTGCTATGAAACAGGATAACATTTGAATTTCACTTATGATATATCCAGCCATCATCTATAAACTAGCTTTTTTCATTAATGGCTTTTCTAGTATTTGCCATAAAACTGACCTCTCAAGACCTTTGCCTTAGAACATTTGCTTATAACACGTCCAGAATTGGCTGGGACAAGCCTGACATTGGCTGACTGGATATTAAAGGATAGCTGGGTAATTAATTTCTTGTGGTTTGCTACTTCCTAAAGCAGGTGAAACCATTAAGCCACCTGTTTATTTCAGGATTATTTAGAAGAGGTAATTTCATTCTACATAACATCTTTCTTATAGCAGAAAAACAGCTCCAACTCTCTTTTCTTCTTGATAAGCCATGAGCCTGTGGGTTTTCTGTCTGAATAACACACCAGGGATACCCATTCTTGGAGTGAATTGGAACCATAATACACATGATTAATAACGATGACCTTTAATTGTTCTGCTTAGCATTAAGTTAAAAAATTAGCAAGCCATAGTTTCCCCCAAAATCTGGTTACAATTCTGATTCTAGTCTTTTCCAGCCATGTAACTTCTGGGTGTTTGAGCTCACTCATTTAGCCATCCAATTCCCCTGAACTCTTCAGAAGATCCCCTAAGACAGTGGTCACCAACTGGTGGTCCGTGAACCACTGGTGGTCTGCGAAAAAAATTTGGTGGTCCGTGGAAAAATTTCGTATTTTTGCATTTTTTATATTGTATTCATCCTCAAGCTATGGCCCCTGGGCCAGATATGGCCTGAGAGCAATTAATCTGGCCCGCGCATGGGAACACACGGCTGCACCACCCACATCACCCCTCCCACACACCAGTCCCCACTCTTAAGGCCGAGCGCAAACCTCACCTTGAGTAGAGCGGTGCGAGCCACACAAATTGGAACTGGAAGGTGAGACCAAGAGCTTGTTGCGCTCAGCCAAGTGGCTGCTTGCGGGGGGGGGAGGGAGGGAGGTTGAGCTGCCTTTCAGGCCTACATCTCTCCTTCTGCAAGGCCTCTGGGTGGGACTGTAGTAGTCACAGTACTGGCCGGTTGGTCATCCCAAAGCAGCTCCTCCACCTGGGTGCACCGGCCTGCCAGGGAGCTGCCTACTCCCTGGCAGGCCGGTGCACCTGGGTGGAGGAGCTGCTCCGGGATGACCAACAGGCCAGTCCTGTGAATGAGACTACTACAGCTCTGGAATATGGGACTGGCCGTGGTGGGCCTGGAAATCTCTGCCCTGGGGTGGCACGTGCAATGTGCAACTTTGCAGGTGGTGCAATACAGAAAAAGGAGCGCAGACCTCTCCGTCTGGAATGAAATAATGGCGCTGTTGCGGCAGTGGGGGAGGGGGCGGCACAAGCGGGCAGAAGCGATGGCTGGAAGCTGCGGGAGTGAAGCACTACTTTCATTTGTGCGGCAACAGCATTCCGCCTTGGTATATTTGTGCCAACTGGTGGCGCAAGGCAGCCCTCGTCTCCTGCTGCTTGGGACTTGGAGAAGTAAATGGCGTCCCTGAAGCGGCACAGGAAACGGGCTCCTCGAGAGATGAGAGCTTGCAGCGGCCAATCTGGCATCCGCAATGGAGAGCAAAATCCGGCTGCTTCCCAGACCAGACGCTGTTTACCGCTCCAAGTCCCAAGCGGCAGAAGAGGAGGGCCGAACTACAGCATATGTAGTAAAATAAAATAAATAAATAAAATAAATTTATATAAAATAAATAAATAAATAAATGTGTATTCCCCTGCAAATATACCAAGGCGGAATACTGATGCCACACTACAGCAGAGAGAGCAAAATGTGGCTTCTTCTCTCTGCTGTAGTGTGGTAACCAGTCGCTGTTTACCGCTCCGAGTCCCAAGCAGCAGGAGACGAAGGCTGCTTTGCGCCACCGGCCGGCGCAATTATACCGAGGCGAATGCTCATGCTGCGCAAGTTCAAGTAGTGCTTCGCTCCCACACTTCTTCCGGCCCTTGTTGGTGCTCCGGCACCTCGGTCTCTCAGGGAGATGCTTGACTTCCTCTCAGCCCCAAGACACTGGCTGGCCCACGAGATGAGAGAGAGAGAGAGAATCAGAGAGAGAATGAAAGAGAGAGAGAGAATGAGAGACAGAGAGAGAGAGAATCAGAATGAGACAGAGAGAGAAAGAGACAGAATGAAAGAGAACGAGAGGGAGAATGAGAGAGAGAGAGAAAGAGACAGAGAATCAGAGAGAGTGAGAGAGAGAGAGAATGAGAGAATAAGAGACAGAAAGAGACATAATGAAAGAGAGAATGAGAGAGAATGAGAGAGAGAGAGAGAGACAAAATGAAAGAGAGAAGAATCAGAATGAGAGAGAATAGAGAAAGTGGGGGAGAGAGATAGAGAGAATGAGAGAGAAAGAGTGGGAGAGGGGGGTGGGAGAGAGAAAGAGAATGAGAGAGAAAGAGAGGAGGGAGAGTGCCTGAAGGACCCCATCCCGTCACTGGAAGTCCAACGGCGCGCTGGATTCGTATTAGTGGTCCGCAAAATTTAAAATTATGAACTTGGTGGTCCCTGAGGTCCAAAAGGTTGGGGACACCTTCTGTCTGCCCACCTGGATTTTGATCATGCTGATGGAGATTAGATGGGCTGAAGTGCAACCATGCAGGTGGCCACATGGTTGGGAAGTTTATCTACCTTCAGTGATAAATATACAATTCTTTTTTTGCTTATTGTGACAGCAATGTCTTATTTTCTTCCCATCAGCTCTCCTGCATGGCCAGACTTCTCATCAAAAGCAACCTGACCACAAACCTCAGAAGCTACCCAGCAGACGTTCTGCTTTTTTTCCCGTGAGTAGTTCTGAAGTGCGCTTTCCAGCAGAAGGAAGGGGCTTTTTTGCCCCTTTCAAGCCAGCTTTTAAAGCTTTGCTTTTAACTTTCCCCAACAACTGTCCAAAAGATGAGTCCCAGGAGCAACAATGATCTTAATGACATGATATGAAATATTTACACATTTACTCCAAGTCTAGCGATGGAGGGGAGGGGTAATAAACCAATTTTTCTTGCATCTTAAATGATGACAGTTCTGTTTTTTTCCAGCATTAGTAAAGTAGAACATCAAAGCTGTGAAATGTTCCACATTTTGGCTTCTCAAGGGAACTTAAGTTTATTGGCCAATGGATCATCCCAGCGGACCAGACTTTTGGAGAATGCATTGCGTTGTTTTGTGAGTGATGACTCTCTCTCCCTCCTTCACTTTTCCTGGCTGACTTTGGTGTTCTGCAGAGCAGGCTCTCCAAACTGGGGTGTCCACATCTCAAGAGATGCACAAGATGATTCATTGAGATGTGAGAAGATAGGTTACAATACTGATTTATATTTATTTATCTCTGCCTTTTCTAGTTTCATTTTGGGGATATGTTTTATAATGTACATATTTTAATATAATAGTACATGTACACTATATGCATATAAGCGGGGATGCATGCTTAAAATATTTTTACTGAGAAGGATATATTGTCAAAAAAGTTTGGAACCTCTGCCATAGAAGCTCTCTTATTCTGCAAATGTTTCTCTTTTTATCCTGAGTAAATCTTCAGCATTTGGGATTATAAGAAGTCCTTCTTCTAATTGTCTCTTTAAAAATAGTGTTTTTGAGGAGGAGTGAAAGTCAGTTTTAGATATAGATGGACATTTTTCCAGGCACATGACATCCCTTACAGCAGACTTCCCTAATCTTTCTGGCTTTACGGATCAGCAGGGGGAGGGGATGGTTCTGCATGAGTGGCTGGCAAGCACATGTGCACAGGCAGCTCCATTTGCACATGTGCCTGCCATTCGTACAAATGGAGCACAAGCACTCGCCTGCTGCTTGCACAAGTGGGGATGTGCGCATGCATGCACTTGCCTGCCACTTCTGCGGCACACAGCCAAACGGTTCACAGCCCAGTCGTGGGCCACGGCCATGGCCATGGCCACCCTAACTCTAACCCCTGCCTTACACTCCAGATTTGGATGCAACAGGTTCTGATTGGCCTCTGTGAATATTCTAAGGCCCTACAATTCCTCCAGAAGATGGTAGATCAGAGAAACAGAGAAAAATGAAAGGGTGGTTGGATCCAATCAATCCCTTGCCTGATTGACTCAGAATTCCACTTGTTCATGCTAATCCTGGTCTTCGATTTTAATGCTTCTGGTATACGACCCACTGGCCACATGGGAAATCCTACCCAAAAAAGAAATAACTCAAACATTACACTCCTCTTGACTCAAAGCATTGCTTTGTACTCAGCAAGTATCGCTCCCAACTTGGCATTCATCCAAATGCAGGTTAAGGATTGATCAGGTGTTGAAAGATAAGTGCTAAATTCTGGCTGCCCTGAGCCAGGCAAAACTCCTGGATCCAATATTAAGCTCGATCTCTGTTTTATAAGGGTGTAAAAAATACCTCACTCAGCAAAGAGCAGCTCCAAAAGCTGGGAGTCTTTGTGTGTGACATGAAGCCATCCACCATCACAGACTCTGACCCGGCAATCCTGGAGAATTTGAAAGCGTGTCCAGATCTCACAGCTGCTCAGATTACAGCCCTCAGGATGCTCCTGGCCAGTGGGAACACCTTATATGGGTGAGTGAGAGTCCTTTAAGAATGAAAAATGACGGTTTTAAAACTACAGCTAAAAAAGGGGGAGGGGGACACGCAACATTCCCTCCAATTTTAATACAAGAATTCAATTTTTATACACATATTAATGAATATGTGTTAGTTTTTTAATGTACCTTTTTAATGTTTTGTGATTTTTTTTTGTTTCACTTACATTTTTTGAAGTTGTATATTTTAACTTTTTTTGAATAAAATAAAAATAGAAAAAAATTCCATTTTTTATCACACAAACAAGAAATTCTCACAATCACTTAAATATGAGCCAGCAGTGTGTGGCAGCAGCCAGAAAAGCCAATGCAATCCTAGGTCGTATTAACAGAGAGATAGAATCAAGATTACGTGAAATGTTAGTACCTCTTTATAAAGCCTTAGTAAGACCACATTTGGAATATCGCGTCCAGTTTGGTCACTATTATAGAAAAGATGTTGAGACTCCTGAAAGAGTGCAGAGAAAAACAACAAAGATGATTAAGGGGCAGGAGGCTAAAATATATGAAGAATGGTTGCAGGAATTGGATATGTCTAGTCTAATGAAAAGAAGGACTACGGGAGACATAGCAGTGTTACAATATTTGAGGGGCTGCCAGAAAGAAGAGAGGGCCAACCTATTTTCCAGAGCACTTGAAGGCAAGACAAGGAGCAAAGGATGGAAAGTAATCAAGGAGAGAACTTAGAACTAAGGAGAACTTTCCTAACAGTGTGAACAATTATCCAGTGGAACAGCTTGCCTGTTGTGGATGCTCCATCACTGGAGGCTTTTAAGAAGAGACAGAACAGCCCCTTGACTGGATTAGGATAAGGTCTCCTGCTTCAGCAAGGGGTTCGACTAGAAGACTACCTACGTCCCCTCCAACTCTGTTATTCTGTTCTGTTCTGTTTTCTTCTTATTTTGTCTAATTGGCAATCTCCATAGAGACGAGGGGATATTAGCCCTTTGAAAGTCAGGTTAAGGCATCCCCGGTGACTCAGAATTCTATTCTCCCCTGAACACAAAACTAGCAGGGCAACCTTTGTCCACAGCACTCTCTCTCAGTCCCACGAGGGAGGCAATGGCAAACCACTTCTGAAATCTTCCAAAGAACCTGCAGGGACTCGTCTTGGCAGTCACTAAGAGTCAACATTAACACAAAGACAAAAAGAAAAGAAAAGAAAAAAAAATAGCCCTTTGGAATTCTGCAGGTTTGCAGAGCACCCCACCCATGCTCAGGTACACAAAATATATTGTGGGAACACCCCATAGTGGACACCAAACGTTGGTTAGCCTTTGAGTGGATAGAAAAGCATATGGAAAACAGTAATGAATAGAAGTTCTGCTTAGTTACCAACTAAGTGTATATGTATTTATCAATATGGGGTTATGATGGTCAAAGACGGTACTAAAGTTAATTACTACTTTAGTAATTAATTACAGGGACACACAAAGATGATAATTAGGAGTACCATTGAGTTAATGGGAAGGGAGCATAGCTCAAAGTTTATTTTTATATACTTCTCCAAATTACAAAATGTTAAAAAATAGATCTTTCAAAATAACTTCAGAGTCAGAATTGCACATTTACCTAATTATTAGTTTTTGCTTTGCTGGCTATGAGCTGTATCCTGTGCAATATTATACATCATCAGTATCTAACACCTATTTCCATGTGACACAGATCTCCTGCCTCCTGGGATGAATCAACCCTTGAAAACCTTGGGCCTCTTGCTTTCTACATAAATCACATTATCTGGGATTCCATTAACAAGGTAGGAGCAGCAGATGAACTTGCGTGCTGTGGTTGCACCCTGAAGTCAAGATGGCAGCTACGACCATGAAACATAAGTGGTCACCATTTAATCTCTGTTATCTCAGGCTGAAAGAGAATCCAACCGGCTTCATGCCGAGGGTGGGACATGAACTCATAGTCTCCAGGTTTTTAGCCTGATACATTAGCCATTACACCAAACTATCTCTCTTCATTAAAAAAAAAAATGTGCGTTGTCCCAATGGATGTTCTGTTCCTCAGGAAGAAAGGACGATCTTCTTCAGAAAGGTGATGGATGGATACAGCAGCCAAAGAGCTTTTCCAAAGACAAAAACAATCCTCTTCTTAAAATCGGTTGGATCTAAACCAGCTTCCTCTCCTAGAACTAAACGGGCAACTGAAAGTAAGGAGAAAAAAAATTGGCCTCTTTGTCTGTTGTACATGCACAAACACATACAGACCAATGGTGGGACTCCAAAAATTTTACTACTGGTTCTGTGGGCATGGCTTTGTAGGTGTGGCATGGCTTGGTGGGCATAGCAGGGGAAGGATACTGTAAAATCTCCATTTCCTCACGATCAGCTGGGACTCCGGAGGCAGAGAATAGATGGGGGCGGGGCCAGTCAGAAGTGGTAATTACCGGTTCTCCGAACTAGTCAAAATTTCTGCTACTGGTTCTCCAGAAGTGGTCAGAACCTGCTGAATACCACCTCTGATACAGACATGAATGGGAGATAATCCTGTGAGAGTTGGAAGCACAATATAAAAATAAATGCATAAGCAATTAAAATGCACTGAATTTAAAAAAGTATTCTCTTGGAAAATAGGGGGCTTGAATAGCCTAAGTAATAAAAATGTACAGTAATATTCTGGTTATACTCATATCATTTTGTCATTCAGCATATTCTTCAATACTTAGCTAGCATTACTATTTTTTTCTCAGTCATAATAAATTGTAAAGACAGATAGCTTTTTAACATCTTGCTAATATTATGGGTAGAAATTTATCTGTAGTCAGCCTCTCTCCCTCAGCTGTGCTCCTGCAATGATGTTTGTGGAAGTTCTCATAGGACATCAGAAGCAGTGTTGCTGGAACAGAATAGACGCAGGAAAATGAAATATGGAGGATAATATCCCTGAGGAAAAAGCTAGGACCAGCTGCTGTGCTGGGCAAAGAGAAGGATAGAGGAGGCCAGAGAAATTATATTAACAGATTTTAACAGATTGAGAGCTGGAAAGGCTCAAAGAGTGGGAGAACTGTAGGAGGGACATCCACAAAAAAGTCAAGATAGTCACTGCAGTTGTGCAATCAAAACCCTCCCCCTTTATGTGCATCACATGCACAATGCATGCAAGAAGGAACTGAGTTTCTGTTATTCAGTTGTGGCCACCATTCTGACTTTTTAAAAATTCTCCTTCCCACCCACCCACCCTGGGCACTTATCCGTATATAGGTATTTCCTTAAAAATAATTGGGGAGGTAGTTGTAACTAGGCTTGGCTGGTGCTACGGTTGGATCATAAAAATCTTTCAAACCATCATGTGATCAATTACAGCGTTAATCTATCATTTTTGTAGCATGTTTGTTGTTATTTACCATGTACATTAAAATTCAGGGGAAGGACAGCCAAAAAAAAAAAGGAATTTGGTGGAAAACCATGAGTAAGGAGGAGGAAACGTTTGGGTGACTTGAAGAAAGGTGAGACACTGAGACAGGAGGAGACCTGGCAGAATTGGAAATTGGAGCAACAGAGCCAAAGAATTGTGACTTTCAGGAGTCTTCCTTTCCCAAAATCTGCTCAAAAAGAGATGATTTCTTCCCTGTGAATTCTTCCCACAGCTTGCCGGTCTGCTCCCATCACCAGCAGCAGCCTAGAAGATCCGCTTTTCATAATTCGGTACGACAGTGCCCAGCAGTTGGATGCATGTCTGAGTGATGAAATTGTGAAGGCCAACCTGGGTCTTTTGCTTGAACAGCCCCTCCCAAATGACTACTTGGCCATAGTTAAAAAGAAGTTAGACAAGGTGAGTGGCCCACGGACTGAGGAGGGCCTGATGTATACCAGGAATGTCTTCAGAGGAGGTCCCAAAAATTGAAATGGTAACTGACATTGTTGTTGGGTTGACACACTCATCCCATGTTTCCATGCCTTGCATACATGATGCATATAAGGAAGGGTTGGGACTTTGCATGGTCACAGCCCCCGTGTTGATGTTTTTGACCCTTCCCATCAGGACACCCTGGTCTCTAGTGTTGAATTTGGTGGTGAAACATGTAGTGACACATTAAGCTTAAGAAGAAAATGTAAAGAATATTTTTAAATTAATTTTTAAATTAAAATTGCTATCAAGATAGTCATATAGCAAAAAATAAATAAGCCAATAAGATTTAAAAAGTAATTTTTCAAAATTCTACTATATTCATTTTAAAACAACATTTTAAAGCCAGTTTAGAAATGATACTCAGTATAAAATGAGTACTGTTCTTATTTTAATATCTACAATAATAAGTTTCAAGAGAAGAATAGTTGAAGATTCACAGCAGAAGTATGTTTCAACAGAGTGCTTGAAAGTCTACTGAGGCATCGAATAGCAGAATGGAGAACAAAATTATCGTACTCTACCTGTCTTGGTTGCAGTTTATGGGCTTAGGCTAATAGGTTCACCGTATTTGAAGAGAACATAGAAAAGCTTCATTCCCACCCACTCTCTGCCTTGAAGGAAGAAAGAAGTCGGTCTGTCTCTTAAGCAATAGGCCACCAGGACAAAAGGGCTCAGGGTGTAGAATCTTGGGAAGTGAGCAAGCAAAACTCAGTCCTCATCTATTAGTTGGTTTCTTAAGGCACACTTGCTGAGCTGCCTCCGTTTCTTTACTACAAACTTTAATTGAGACTTTAAGCAGACAACATTGACACATCGATCTGTCCTTGGTCGTGTTTTGAAACACCTACTTTACTTTTGTAGTCCTTCTCTCCTCCCCCCCTCCCCCCGGGTTCTCCCTCCAAAAAAGTGTCAAGACGGTTCTAGCCGTGTGCTCTTTTTCCTACCATGTCGATTAATTAAACCCCATTCAACTCTTAGCAACTAAATACATATTTTCTAGAAGATCTGCCCTCAATCTGGGCTTTGAAGTATCTCAGTAGCATATTTCTTGAAGTTGTAATGAAGCCCATCCACCTTGCTGCTGGTCATTCTTTTCTCCTCTTTTCCCAGCATTATAGGTTTCTCAAAGAAACTGGGTCTTTGCATAGTGTGTCCAAAACAGGGGAATTAATGTCATTTGTGCCACAAGTGGGATTTTTGGCTGTTCTATGATCCATTTGTCACCAGCACCAAACTCAAAAGTCTCTTTTGATCCCGCTTCTTCAAAATCCAACTTGCTCATCCATAGAGCATCGGCCTATTACATGGTCGTTAATGAAACCTATTTACTAACAAAGGCTGCTCCCCTTTCTTAGAGCTACCCTGATGGGATTCCAGAAGATCAGTTGAGACTGCTTGGCTTCCTCTCACGTCAGTACAGCACAGACGAGATTGGCAGTTGGAACCTCACTTCCAGTGACACCCTGGCTGCTCTTCTGAATCCAAATGATGGTGCATGGGAAATGCCACAGGTAGCGTATCAAACGGATCTCTCCATCTGGGGCCATCTAATGGCTAAACAGAATTGCTGTGAACTAGTAACAGCAAAGGCTTTTTGTTTGCTTTTCATTTTAAGCCAGAGGTGTACTTTAAGTGTATCACTTTTCTGACTACCCCCCCTTTACCTTTTTACAGAAAAAGTGTGGCATTCTTATATGGATGCATATCAGTGGTGAAATTCCATTTTTTTTACTACCGTTTCTGTGGGTGTGACTTGGTGGGCGTGGCAGGGGAAGGATACTGCAAAATCCCCATTCCCACCCCACTCTGGAGCCAGCCAGAGGTGGTATTTGCTGGTTCTCTGAACTGCTCAAAATTTCTGCTACCGGTTCTCCAGAACCTGCTGGATTTCACCCCTGATGCATATTACCTATTATACAAATGTTAAATGGTCTTTAGATACCTCTTGCTCTGTAGACCAAATGTGTCAGTTTGAATAAAAATATATATCAAAATTTAATTTTATCTCATTTCTTAGACCACGTAAGTTCTTCAGCATTTTTTTCTAGATATTTACCAGCCTCACCTCTTATTACTGCTCTGGACATGCATCCTTTCTTAAAACGTAACTTCTTTTCATGCAGCTCAGGCGACTGGTTGCAAGATATATGGAACTGGGAGGCTCACTCACTGGTCCCTTACTGGACATGCTGGGAGGCAAATACCTGTGCTTTCTGGATGAAGATCAGCTGCAGGAAATCAATCCAGCATCCATTAGGTAGATTGCTGTTTTTTGCGGGGGCAGGGGGGAGGGGGCTTAACTAAAGAAGGAGTAAATTTTGAATGACTCCTGGGCTCAGTCTGGAAACTACAATTGAAGATGATTGGGGAACAATTAGCAAGTAGGATTATCTACTTATTAGTAATTAGCAAATCACTTATCTAAAATGGAATAGGTTCTCCTGCTTGAGCATGGAGCTGGACTAGAAAACCTCCAAAGTCCCTTCCAGCTCATTCTATTCTATTCTAAAGAAGGATGACCCAAGTGAGGAACAGGTATTCTAAGGAAATTAATTAGTAAATATGGCTGTTGGCTGCTCACATAGAAAAAAGACAATATAAAACATACCAGTACAAAGCGAAAACACAATAGCATCACTACTACTGAAAGATCATCCACCCTACTGTTCTTTCTCTGAGTGATTGCCAACATATGGCTGTTCTTATTCTTCATTATTCTAAGAAGATGGAACTAAATGATACATAAGTTTAGGCAGGTAATCCCTGGGTTACGAGCATTCCCTTAGTGAATGTTCAAAGTTATGTGATAAGCAGCCCCTAGTGTTTACAAGCAAGTCCCAAAATTATGAATATTGCAGCACCACAGCAGTTGTTCGCCCTTACGAATGACTGCAGAGGCTCTGCAACATTCACCCACCTATACACACACACACACACACACACACACACACACACACACACACACACACAGGCCAAGTCTTCACAGGCACTCTGAAGTGGAGATTCACCTTGCTAAGACCTCCCCTTCATTGCCTGCTTCATTGCTTCAGACTTTCGGTACATTTGCAGAGAACATACCTTGTGATTGTGCGAGATCAGTAGCGCCAGATCTCGTGCTACTGATCTTGCGTGATCTTGCACTTTAGGCCTCTATTCTCTGTGAATTGAGGCCTGGAGGCAAATGGAGGGAAAGCCTTCCCTCCATTTGCTGTTTCCTTGCCGAAGCCTTCAGGGAGATTGCATTCCTGCAGCCCTTTGTAAAAAGCCTTTGTTGGCACCAGCAGAGCTTGGGAGGAGCGGGTGCGTCCCTCTGAAGCTCTGTTCCTACCAGCAAAGGGTTTTTGAAAACAGGATGCAATCTTCAAGTGCTTTGCTGATGAAAAAGGAGGCCTGGAGGGCCGTGCACAGCCTTACAGGCCTCGTTTTGTTGCCGGAGGCCTCGTCAAGCCAGAGGTCTTTCCAAGAAGGAAAAGAAGCAGAGAGAAGCAATTTGGAGTTAAGGCGAAACTTTCTAACAGTGAGAACAATTAGCCAGTGTAATACTGTCTTCAGAAATTGTGGGTGCTTCATCACTAGAGGTCTTTAAATAGAGACTGGACAGTGCTATATAGGCATAATGCTTGAGCAGGGGTTGGACTAGAAGACCTCCAAGGCAGCGGTGAAATGCACTTACGTTTGCTACCGGTTAGGGAATGTGAGAGCATGCGAGCATAGCAAGAGTGCGCCTCTTCTGTGCATGCTCAGAGGGTCAAAAACGGGACGTAATGATGTCCCGGCGGGTGGGCAGAGCCTCCCGCTGCCGGTGCTACCAGTTTGCGCGATAGATCCGGCCAGATTTCGCTGCTGCTCCAAGATCCTTCTGGCTTTATTCTGATTTAGATGCTTTGTAGGTTCAGCTTTCTCTAACCTGGTACCCTCTAAATGTTTCAAAAATGTTCCTGGATTTTTTTTTAGAATCTCATTGACTAAGTCTGATCTCTTACATGTTAAATTCCTTAGGCATGCTGAGAAGCTAGATATTTCTACTTGTGCCCAAGGGAAGAAAGATACCCTGTACCAAAAGGCCCACACTGCATTTGCCAACCAAGAAGGAACACGTGCCTATTATCCTCTTATCCAGCCATATCTAGGTACATTTGATACGCTATTAAGGTGCTTCCTTTCTTGCTGTTTCCTCCAGAATTAATTCTCCTACTTTATCTTTAATAATCCAGACATGGGGGCACAGCTAACGGTCATTTTATCCCTATTAGCATGATATCCATACTATTCACAAATTATATGATGCATTCCCCAAAATGTCCTTCAGGCCCTATTTTCCTACAAAAATCCATTGTTTAATCTCTAACAGCTTTTGTGACTGGGCTTCCATTGTCTTTCATCCAATACTATTTCTAGAAACATTTCAAAAAGACTAAAATGGATAATGACAATGATCAAATCAAACTCTGAGAACATGGGAATAGGAAATTGATTAGACAAGAAGAAAATACGATGGGAGTAATGGATTAACATGCATGGATTTATTCACATTTCATTGTTAATTATATTAAAATTATTAAATGTAGAATCTTACAGGTTTTGGAAGAGAGGTATAGAAAGTTCTTGTAACCCATCTGGACACATCGTCTTCCACCCCAACTTTAACCACCTTTTATTTAAATCTGCTTGGATTCAAGAAGGATTATCAAGAAGGATACGATGTTACCTTTCCCACAGAAATCTAACTCTTTTTTTGTCTTTTTAAGGGGGAGCTCCTGTCGAAGAGCTGAAAAAGCTGGCTAGATCCCATGTTGATATGGATATTGATACATTTATTAATTTAAATCCGGAAGAAGTAAAGGTTAGTTCTGACATCGTGTCATATATTGCTTTAGGCAAGATTATGTCAAGGTTAGCAAAGGGATTCTCCAGTCCCCCCAAAAAAGACCTATCTAAAATCATTTTATGGCATTCTCATCCTTGGCAATGTCATCCTGAGGGCCTTGCATGAACAGATTAAACTATTGCAAGAGTCACACAAAAACATATCCAGCATCTTTGAAGGGCTCCTGGGTGTGAAGGATGATGTGAATCTGTTGTAAGGATATTTCCCTAATTTGCTCCTTGGTACAATTTATTTCATCATGCGGCTTCAGAAGATTATCAATATCCAAGGTGGAATAGGAGAAGATGTTAAAAGTGTTTTAAATTTTTCAAGTGTATTATGTAAATGAGAGCTGTATTTATAATGCTTTCTGGATAAAAGGAATGTAGAATATTTGGGGGAAGAAATAATCATTAACAGAAAAGCTGGTAGTGATGACACTTCCTGAATCATCAAAGGTACTGCAATTATATTACAGAAACTCAGTGTCCAGGATGTGAAAGATCTGCTTGGTGTTAATTTGCCTGACCTGAAAGAAGTTGAAAACCATCCTTCTGTTGCCATGTGGATCAAGAACAACTTTCAGTCTGAACTGGATTCCCTTGGAATTGGCCTGGTTGGAGGCAGGGCATCTCTGTTCTCCACTTCTATGGGCAGCACCGTGTCAAGTATGTCTCTTAGTACAAAATCTGACGATGCGTTAACTGCCATCTCCCCTGTTACCCCAATCATGGAATCAACCTTATCTAGTCCAGGCAACATCAATGTTACTACCTCTACCACTAGTTCTGCCTCCTTGGATTTGAACCCATTTGTTTCTAGAGATGCTACTGAGTCCTATTCAACTCCTGTCTTCAAAATCACTCTTATGACTAATGAAATCTCTCCTTCCATTAACAATACACAAACAACTCTTTCTGATAGAGTGCCTAAGGATGCTTTCCCCACCAATATATCTTCCAGTGTTAGAGCTGATTCAGATAATACTATGGCTGGGACAATGGTTCCTACAGCTGTAAGAAATACACCTGTTCCCACTGAAATTACAATAGATTCCAGTAGTGCCACAACCAACAGAACAGACTTTCCTGTAAGTGGAATCCCAGCCCCTTTCATTGCAAGAGGGATCAACACAACTTCTAATGAACCTATTATAGATTCTAGCAATGCCACAGCTAATAGCACAGCTGCACCTTTCATCCCCACAAAGTCCTTTGTTTCAGTCCCAACTGAAATTGTAGTCCCCTTTTTGAACATCACTACTACTTTAAATGAAACTGGTGGCACACCGGTCCCTATCATCTCTACCATTGCCACCTATTTCAATAATGGCCCAGCCAGTAGAACAGACCTTCCTTCTGTATCAACAGACTCTGCCACTGTTGTCCCCACCACTTCCTTAAATATCACGGCTGTTTCAAATGAAACATTATTCCGCAGCACTGCAAGATATTTCAACACAACCATCTTGAGTAAACTTTCAACAGATTCTAATAGCACAGTCAGTGCCCCACTTGTTACTACCACTCCCTTAGATTCCACTACTGTTGTTACCTCCAAAACCAGAGCTATTTCTTATAATGTTTCAGTAACTTCAAATGATACCATCAAAGACACTCTTTTCCATTATAATGCAACAAGTAGCAATGTGATCCCTTCTGTTGAAACAACAGTAGCTTCTGATAGCAACACCACAAACAATGACACAACATTTCCTAGCCCTGTTACAGTTGGACATGTAACTGCTGGTCTCAATGTAACTGTTTTTCACTCACCCACTGTTGTCATAAACTTCACTGTTGGTGCAGATACAACCACAGCCAGAACTTACCTCACCTCTGTCATGTCCAGTATAACCAGAACATCTTCTAAAAGGCTTTCAACACCACCTAAGCCCACGCCAGCGTTGGTCAGCAAAAGACCCATAACAGTTACAGGCAAACAGCCAACGGCATCAAGCAAAACGACTTTCCACTCCCAAAAAACCTCTCCCAAGACAGCTATTCCTCCACCACCCTCCCCAAATCGAACGACCTCAAAGGCAGCTACAGCCATCCAGAGAAGCAGCAGAGCAGCTCCACCAACAAAACCACCATCGTATCCAACTCCAAATGGCTACATTCACGTGAAACCATTAAGTGGTATGTATTTGGGTTTAATCATTTCTCAAATTTCCTTTGTTTTAGAGGAGGGTGAAACTTTTCAGTAAAGAAAATGGAGTAATTCTGGCATGAGATCTGAGATGAAATTAAATAGATTTTCCTCAGGACACAGAGATGCTGTGTTTAGAGTTTCTATGCTAGCTTTGAAAAATGAGGCTTCCATTATTATTCTGGGAATATTAGCTGGGCGAAGAAACATTCAATTTCATTAAAAGGTAACTATACGTCACCTCCGAGATCTGTAGAGGAGACACTGGAGGAGGCAAATGGCCAGAGGTGTTTCAGTGTTGGCAGGTGCCTCTGACATACAAATAAGTAGAAAAGCTTGTTCATTGTTCACATTGGCTTCTTGTGGCCAAGCTTGTGTGAGGCCTTGAGAATGGGTAGCGATGAAGATATATGTCTTCTGGGACTGCCCTGTACTTTAATCCGCCTCCACACTGTCAACCGGTCGGAATACAAATATAATTCTCCACTCAGTTCTCTGTCCCTCACATAGTTTGGGGCTCTGAATCGCCATCGACAGCTGTGGGAACTACCTGCGCATGACCAAGAGTGATTGACCAACCTCATAAAGCTAATCTAAGTCAGATCTAATTAGGGTTTCAATGAAAGATCAACAGGAAGTATTAGAGATGTAGGCTAGAATTACCAAGGTTGAGAAACTCTGGTCTATGTACTGTAGACAAAGTTCTAAAGTGATTTTTCCTCATGCTCTTTCCAGTGGAATTGAAGGTGGGGCACACTTCTGTTTTTGATTTGGAGATGGTTGCTAGATTTTTTTTATCAGTGTTAACACTAGCACTAGCTCACATGTTCATTTCCACTCAAGTGCCATTTCTCTCATCTGAACACTCGGAACAGAGAGTTCAGAGACAGCCATGTTGTTTACTTATTTGCAAACCCACCTGTGCTCAGGTGAATGCTTAAAGAACAACTTTGGTTTCTGAAATGCAAACAACATCCTTTAAGTTATAACAATACTTTCTGTCATATAAATCTTTATCTGTAATTTCTTTTCACCCTTCTATAAGGAGAAATATGAAGAACCTCCAGATCATTGAAAGTGATATGAGCTTACATATAGAAGATTATCTTTAGGCTGTAATGGGATATCAAGAAACAACTGAGATAATACACAGGAGGCATGACTATGGATCAAAGGTCTAGTTCTCCCTCACTTTTTTGGGACAAGACCTTCATGTTGGTTAAAACTGAAAGGGGATAAAACCTGCTATTGCTTTAAAAGCCAGGATGCCAGACATGGATTTAGTTAACCCTAGCTATAATGCTGCCTGGTTCATTGCACTAAACCACATATGGTAATTATAATTTGTTGATAAATTAATGTTTGGATGACTTCAGTCATCATGCTTATCCATAAACAATGAGCTGCAAGCTTCAAGGATCAGTTCATCTGTTGCCTTAAACCCTAAAGAAGAAAACCACATAATGATTCTACATGATCTATGAATCCAGCCATAGTAACTTTTTATATTATTCCATAATAAACAATGAACAAGGACAAGTAAACTTGATGGGATGACTTTGTACTGTGAGCATGATCTAACCATTGGTCTTGAATCTGAGCTTTTATTGAGTAATAGTCTTAAAAGAACTTAAGTCCCTTAAAATGCAAGGAACAGATCTTGATTTCTCTTTGTTTTCTCCATGCAGCATCAGCCGTAAACACATCACTCAGCTGGGCACTTCTGGCATTGTCTCTCACCATTGGAATCTCAATTCAGAAGTTTCTCTAAAAATATGAATATCTCCTCCCCACCCTAACAATTATTGATGATGTTATCTGTAATACTTTCAAAATTCTACTACAAAAGCCACATTGACTCTTGGAAAGATAACAGTGCTAAACGGATTATGTCTAAATGGACAGGTGTCAAAATTTACCGTTATGTAGAAAATCATTGCACCATTATTGTTTGAAGATGACCCTGCATTTATTGTCCCCTTCCTGTGCCCTAATTGGTTATATTACAATACAATCATATTTCCAATGCACGGAGATGCTACCTTTCCACTGGAGTTTCTCAGTTTTGAGTGGAAGCAATTTAAATGTATTTTTTCAAAATCTGTCTTGGCATCTGGAGTTTAGCAGCAGCAGCAGCAGCAGCAGCAGCAAAACTTTGATTCCCAGCAAAAAGAATAGAAGGATTTGATCAATTCAGACTGATTTCTAGCCACACCAACGTCACATGTTCATGGGGGTGGGGGGTGGGGGTACTTCCAAAGATCTAAGCAAATGCACATCTCTTCAATTCCCTTATGAACATCTAGCCCAGTAGCTGATTCTGAGGTTGTTTGCTTTATCTCTTGTATGCACACTTCTTGTTTGTCCTTGATGAGAAAATCCTGTCCAGAGCAATGCTGTTGTCCTGCTGTTTCATAAGGCATACGTGGGAAAGAATACTGCCCAAGTATTTGACAGCTCGGATTATTTAACGTATCATCACAATTCTTTGGCTTTTGGTGCTCTGAAGATATCTCCTTCGATGTTCCTTATCATTTACTAGCTTCAAATTTTGAATCAGCTTAATAGATGGAGCAAATGGAAAGCTCTTAAGCATGAGTAGCTGGCTAGTGCTAATGACAAAGTAATAGATTTTGAATCTATTCTCCCTCATGCACTCATGCACTACAGGCATGAGAGTCCTATAGTGGAAGGTATATTTTTCTCAGATTGATCTGGAAGCAATCATTCATATCTGCTGAATTTTGCATCATCACAAAGAATTTAAATAGAAGTCTTCATCTTGCAATTAAGATTTTAGTTAAATCACAGCTGCAGACTGCACAGCCCTGGAACTGCCTCCCCTACCCAGGTTTTGATCAATTGTATGTTTTGGCAAGAGAAAAGAAACATTCTTAAAAATATAGGGAATAGTTATATAATATAGATTCAATTATTTTCATTTCACTAAGCTTACATTTTTTTACTGTATTTTAAAATATGGGTATTTTAAATTATGGGTATTAATTCAGCCAAATTTATTTAATTCATTTTATTCGATTTTAAATTTTGTATATCTATGTGTTTTATTTCATGGCTGTGCACCGCCCTGAGTCCTTCGGAAGTAGGGCGGTATAGAAATTCAATAAAATAAAATAAATAAATAAGTAGAGTCCCTAAAGTGTCTGCCACTCAAAAGTCCAAATGCAGGCTTAGGTGCTCCCCTCTGCATCCCAAAAGATTGTGCATTTGATTGTGCATCCTGGGAAAGTTCTGATCCTCGTGAAAAAGAAGTTTGGTTAACGTGAAATGGATTGGGAGTGGGGGGAGGCAGGATTGGGCTTTCCCCACAAACCCCCTACACTGAAATAGCTTTTTCTCACAGAAAACTGCCAGTCAGATGTCTTTAGTTTTGCACCTGGAAGCTGTGCATTTATGGGGTTTCACTTGAGTAATTTAGTCCAGAGGTAATTGAAAACAGTTTAGCATATTTATATATATTTAGCATATATATCAATTGCACTTTATTGGCTGTTAGGTTCCCAGATTTCCCTCTTCCTAAATCATTCACACTTGTATGTGACATATATATTATATTAATTTTTATATTGGTGACTGAATTTAAAGTTTATACTTCCCTATTTGCTGGAATGATTTGTTAGAGCTTCTAGGTTGATCAAATGGCCTTTATATTGATGAGGCTGTCCCAAGAGAAATGATACAGGGCCAATTCAGAGAGCCAGTGGAATGGCAATTCAGAAAAAGCCTATGGAAATGAGATTAGTGCCAAGGGAATTTCTTTTCTTTTCTTTCTTTTATTAGATTTATATACCGCCCTACTCCCGAAGGACTCAGGGCGGTGAACAGGCACAAAATAAAATACATTCATGAAGTTATACATACAAAATAAAATTTCTACATGAAGAGTGTCTCAAAGAGTAATAACTGAAGAGCAAATCTATCAAGATCCTTTTGAATGTTGTCCCTGTTTCCCTGTCTTCTAGAGTGTGAGCTATTCCCCAAAACTGTTTCATTTGCATATTTTATGAGCATCTTTCTTTTCTCTGTAATTTCTGAAGATTTGAAAAGTATTCAGTTCAGACAAACTCGGAGGTTTCCAGTGCACGGCCTTATCCATGTGGACATAGATCCCCTGAGAACCATGGGTTGGCTATGGTTGTTCAGCCAACTATGAATCCATTTGATAGTGGGGCCATCCATCCCATTTTGTTCTAGTTTATCAAAAAGAGGGTATGGTGTATTTTATCAAATGCTTTACTGAAATCTAAGTATACTACATGTATAGTGCTTCAGGATTTCTGAAAGATTTTAGTCAGTGGCTCTGGCATGACATCCATCACCTCCTTTAACACCCTGGGATGTAATCCATCTGCTCTGGGGACTGGAATTCAGAGCAGCTGGATGTTCTCTCACCAATTATTTGCCTATTTTCCTGCTCATTTCTCTTTTCCTGCCATTTCTGAGAGGTCAGACTTCTTTTTCCTTTTGTGAAAGGACAGTTGCAAGGTAGGCAGTTCAACATTCTCCCTGCTGTCTGTCACCATCTTGCCATCTTCACCAGCCAGGAGGCAAGCATTTTGTTGACTTTTGTTTTCTGCAAGCGTGGCAGGAATAGCAAACACCCCAAAAGATAGGCTCAAGATCCAGATGGATCTCAATAGCCTTGAATGCTGGGCCCTATCTAACAGAATGAAACTCAAATGTAGAGAAAAGCAAGGTTTTACACTTACACAAGAAAATCAAGTGCATAGGTATAGAATAGGTGGTACCTGGCTCAATGGTAGTAGCTGCAAGAGGGATCTTAGAATCCTAGTGGTCAGTCACTTAAATATCAGCAAGCAGTATGCTGCAGCTGCCAAAAAAGCCTATGTAATCCTGGGCTGCATTAACGCAGGAATAGAACCAAGGTCATGTGAAGTGTTATTACCACTTTATAAGGCTGTGGTAAGACCACATTTGGAATACTGCACCCAGTTTTGGTCACCACAATATTAAAAAGATATTGAGACTCTTAAAAATGTGCAGAGAAGAGCAACAAAAATGATTAGAGGGCTGGAGGCTAAAAAACAAAGAACAGTTGCAGGATCTGGGTAGGTCTAGTCTAGTGAAAAGAAAGACTAGGGGCGACATGATAGCAGCATTCCAACATTTGTGGTGCTGCCACAAAGAAGAATGGGGTCAACCTATTTTGTGAGAAGCAGAAATCAGTGGAAGTTGTGGGTGCTTCATTACTGGAAGTTTTTTAAAAAGAGACTGGACAGCCACTTGTCTGAAATGGTACGGTCTGCTTGTGCAGGGAGTTGGACTAGAAGACCTCCAGCTCTGTTGTTCTGGCATTCACTTCTTAGCTCACCTTCTGATTCCATCCTTTGCAGATTGGGTCTCTTTCCCGATATTTCACTTTTATTACAGGGCCCTCTTTCTAGCCTTGAGAATTGCTCTGTTTGTTTCTCAGTTTATCTGAGAGCTCTTGCTGCAATCATGCCTTTTTCATCCGATCTCTCCCCCAACCCTTTTCTCTCTCACTCACTCTCTCTTTGCCATTGTTTGTGTCTGGCCTCAATTATTTTATTCTTCAGAATTTCCAAATTTTCCTGAAATGTTGCCCTTCCCTTCTCGTCTTAAATCATCAAAATACTAAGCTTGGGTTAGATTTCAAAGCAGTAAACAAGGAAAAAAAAAATGGTTTTGCCCTCTCTGGCCTCCAGGAGCATACTGCAGGCCTCCCAAACCCTCTGTGCGCCCCTTTTTTGCAAAAAACAGGCCCGTTATTGGCCTCCCAACCAGCGGTGAAATCCGGCTGGTTCTATCTGACTCACACAAACTGGTAGTGCCGGCCACCCGCCAGGACATCATTATTGATCCTCTTGCACATGCGCAGAAGAGGCGCGCACGCTCACACCAGTAGCAAAAGTAAGTGCATTTCACTGCTGCTTCCAACCCCCCCCATGCATTACGTTTTTGCCCTCCCCTGCCCGCAGGAGCTCTGCATGCCTCCCAAACTCTCTGACTGTTTTTTGCAAAACAGCGGGGCGGGGTTTCAGGAGGCCAAAAATGGCTTTATTTGGTGCATAAGACGCAACAACATTTCCACTGTCTTTTAGGGTGGAAAAAAGTGCACCTTATACTCCGAAGAGTACGGTAGCAACCTTGACATAGCATAACTGTAAAACAGCAAAAAAAAAGCTGTTTTACAGTTCTGCAGTCACCTGTGAACAGAGAATCCAAAAAAGGGAAAGCAGGGTTTTTCTTTTAGGGGAAATGGATGGCCCAGAGAAAAAAAGATATAAGGGCCGAGCAGGGAAAGCATAATTTGGAACAAGAGCGCCACATGCTGCAGTAAGAAGTGACACCGGAGAAGGAAGTAGAATCCTAGAGAAAAGGTCTGCAAAAAGGAAGCATTGGTGTATAAAACTTAGAGCTACTTATAACAACATAGAGAGCAGATTACATGGGAGTGTGGGATTCTGCCGGTTCTAGGGGGTTCGGCCGAACCGTTTGTTAAATTGCTGGCTCGCCCCACCCTTGCCCCGCCCCTCCACACCACTGGGCGAGGGATGGGCGAGCCAGCAATTTAACAAACGGTTCAGTGTTTTTTTATAATTTTATTCGCCTCACAGCTGCCGCGGGGCTTCAAAGAGCCACCCTACAGCTGATCAGTGTTAAAAGAAAAAGAAATGAGTAGACCGACGCCTGCAAATATAAATGGGTAGACCCAGTGGTGGGATTCTACTTTGGTAGAACCGGTTGTTAAGTAGTTAAACCAGTGGTTGCCAAAGTGGGCGGTACCACCCCCTGGGGGGCAGTGGGATGCCTTAGGGGGGCGGTAAATGGCAAGGGGGCGGCAAGAGGGACGCTAGAGGCAAAGGGGGGCAACAGGGGGCTAAGTGGCAAGGAGGGTGGCCCCCCCCTTTGACCTGTGCCTCGCAGCACTTACCTCCTTGCAAGCAAACAGCAAGAAAAAAACAGCCTCTTTCAGTTTCAGCATAGGTTAATTAGCATGATTAGAAGCTCTTGTTTTGCAAGCTCTTT